CAGATGGTGACAATGCACTTGGTTTTGCTGCCGTACTTCTTTCCTAGTCTCATCTCCAGGAGATGATGGTTGTGATTGCCTCAGGCAAATTAAAGGCCCCCTTTTTGGTGGGAGGTTAGTTTAGCTTTCTTTCTTTCCCAGCTGCCTCTGCAGATTTGGTTTTAACTAAACTCATGGCTACAGAACTACCTTTTTGTTTATCAAGCTGCACACTCATTGATTTGTTTGTTCTTTGGATTTACATGAAAGGGAACTAAAAACAATTTTGTCTGGCTCATCTGGTGAGTTGCAAACTCTCCATCTGTGACTACTTAGACCAGGGGGTAATCTATTATGAGTTTATATCTAGAAGGAAAAAATTATAAGCGTTTCTTCTTAGCTCTGGCATTCATTTTATATCCTGGAACGACTTATCTTAATCTTTCTAGATTTCAGCACTTTTCCTGGTTTGCTGAAGATGATTAAATAAGCCAAACCTACAATAGATTTTTGTGACAAAAATAATATATACAAAAGCTCTTTGGCAGGTATGATCAGCATTCAAATAGAAGGCATTGAAAGGTGTCCTTTCACCACAAACCTTGAGAGTGGCTGTGTTGGGGCCTCTTTTCTGATGGTTACAGGGTATAATAACAGTAGACACTCCTGAAGTCATATAAATATGGGTGAAAATACAGCTATAAAGTTTTTTTAAATTGATGTCTCAATGTTAAAAAGAAAAACCTAATATCAGTATAATCTACCTCATCAGCAAACTGACGTATGATTATTCATAGGTAAAATGATAAAATACAGTGGGGTGTATTTATTTGTTAATTTGTTGGGAATAAAGTAAGTGGATATCCAAATTCTGAATATTTTTGAGAATGGCAGCTATAATATTTATAAATTATAACTGTCATTTTAAATAAGCTGACAGCTTCCTCTTAAAGCATGATATTAGCAATACATTTAAAATAAAGTTTGAGAATTTCGGGTCTACTGTTATTATGAAAAAAGCTTTTTTCTTGGGAGGGGGCAGCAAGGAGGTATTTCATTTTCTGAGAGCCAGGGAAACACTTCATTCTTTTTACTGCTACTTTCAAATATCCTGAGATATACCTGTGACATTATTTTTTGAGTAGTAACTACCACATTATGTTCATGAATAAAGTGGAACTGAAGAAACAGCATCATTGAATCTCTTGTTTAATTAAATATAAAAGCTATCTTGTTTTTTGTGTTCTGGCCTTTTTCAAGTGTCTTCCTAGTTCTCCTTGGCTATCAAGCACAGGTCTCACAGAAGCAGGTGTGTGGACATATTAGCACATAGTCTTCATTTAATTCTCCTGTGAGGTGGTTATTATTTATCTCCATTTACTGCCAAGGAAACTTTGCCCAAAAGTTAAGTGGATTACTCCAGTCACAGGGTTAGGAAAAGGCAGATGCATAATCAAAACTGTTTTAAGGGGCACAATGTCACTGTCTTCTCGGCAATGGGTTAGTTGTGTGGAAAGGAGCGTTCTATTGTTTAAATGTCGGCTGCTGTGAGAGATGATGACCAGAGATGAGAAGGGTTACTGTTGTGGTTGTATGGACAATAAAAATATATTAGAAATGCAATAGATCCAAGCCAGTTTTGAATTTGTGGTGACAGAGTTTGAGTAAAAGGAAACTAAAGTTTTGTTGATCCTAACACTTTCATGTGGAATATATTTGGAGACTGATAAATTTATTTATTCAGTTTGAATATAGATTTTAGTTCCTCTCAAATTAAAGTTAACATTTGCAGTGGTTGAAAATTGGAAATCCCCAAACGAAAAATGCCACTCACTATTTGTGGCCTTGCGTCAGTCAGGTTCACATTTGTCAGTCACAAAATGCACACTTTTCTAAGATCTTGTCTATTCTTTGATTCTAGGATGGAAAAAAATACTAAAGATAATGCTATAAATATTTGCTAGTACAATCTATCGGAGAAAGAAATAGGTTACAGAAAATATGATGCTCAGTCATTTATCCTTTCTTTTGGAACAAAGGAACAGGTAAAAGCCTAATTGCTGGTGGTACGATTACATAGTAATTCTAAGATGTAAATCTGTCAGTTACTACTGGCCTGATTTAGTACCTTAGAGATGACATGTATATTTTTTATCTTATACTGTCTAAGAGTAACATCACAAACAATATCCATACCAATGATGCACTTGAAAAAGAACAAGAAATTTCAACTCACAGGTGGTTACAGGCAGGAGTATTCATAGATTCCAAAGGAATAAATATGAAAGCTGAAGCACTTTGGGCTCTTTAGAAAAAAGAAACTGCTATTTAATAAATTCAAGTCTCTTTCCCATTGAGGTAAAGTAAAAAAATGCTTTCAATGACAAAACAGGGCATCCATTTTAACAGTTTTGTATACCTTGACTTTGTTGTAAATACAGTGTCTGATTTACTCTGGGCTAGAGGTGAGGACAGGAAGCCTTTCGCCTGGCTTGTGCCAGAGGCTTATCACAGTTTACACACCCAGGTTAAGGACAATTTAAAGCAGATTCTAACATCACACGGTCTCAGGCAAAACCATGTGCACCAAAGCGTTGCAGAGACAGCCTTCAGAAGTAGAACAGAGCATGGCACAACCGTGAAAAACACTGCAAAGACGAGAAGCTTTCCTGATCTTTGACAAGTGATGGTATATAAAACAGTAACAACTTCAGAGCCATTGGAGGTGCTGGGGGTGCATGTAAAAGCAACATCCATTTCTTTCTGTCTGCTCTAGTTGAGCTGCCCCATCAAGACTGAGTCTAGACCAACAGGCAATATTAAAAACAAAAGGTTAGAGATCATCATGGGACATTAATTATGCAAAAGGCGGCAAACTGAATTTAATCAGAAGCTGCATACTCAGTGGAAGAAGAATTTTCTCTTTTTGACAGAAGCAGTTAGGAAAACATTTATGGTAATACCACAGCATCTGCTGATTACAGTCAAAGCTGCAGGACACCAACATTAAATCACTGAGCCATCCTGACAGCTCCTGGGTACTCAAGTCACATCGAACAGCAATTTACAGTGATATTCATCCAAGTCTAAAAATCAGCCAACATATTTAAAGCAGAGAGAAATAACTTAGAATTCCCCTTTTATAATCATTCTTTAAATGTCCAAACTCTGACAAAAGTTTGGATCTAATATAAGTATTTGTTCTCAACAATTTTTAAAGAGCACATGAATTTTCAGATCTGTTACTGTATACTATGTGGCCACTAAAATTTTGATATTTATCAGAAGGATAAATCTGACATCCTTCCTAAGTGCTCTGAATCGGCATGTCTAAAGAATTTAGAGAGAAATTAGAATAATTTTTAAACAATTAACTTGGTTGCTAAGCAAATATGGGTAAAACAAAGAGCTCATAGAAATGATGAGCTACAAAGAAGTATGACTTTACGATGATTATTCTATGAACTGCCTACAGAAGGACAAGGAGCATAACCAAATATATTGCCACCCATCTGGAATTACTGAAGTGGTAATTAAAAGAATAATAAATTCTATAGATACTAATAACCAAAACCTTCATATATAGATATTTCAGTGGATTTTCTTGTGGTCAAGAAACATTGGTGTTTAAATTTAAATCTGTGAATGACCCAAGAGTCCAGAGAATAAAACGTCTTTTGCAATTAAAATTCACAAAAGTAAATGTCTCATATTCTATCCAAAATCAACACCAAAGATTTTCCTTCCCCATTTGCCTTGGGAGTTCAACTAAGTATTATTCATAACATGAGATTAAAGGAAGGAAAAAAACCAAAAACTTGAAAATGACTATTTTTGAGGAAAGCCATTGAAACTGTTCACAAGGGATGGCTCCATTGTTATCTTTCTCTCAGCTAGATAAACTGTTTCAGAATGTGTTCACTACAGTTAATCACTAACACAATATTCATCTACAATTTCAAAATCTGAACTTATTTATTCAACTTATTTCTAAAACATTAAAATGCCTCTAGAATTATATTTATAAACATAACCTATTGATGATAAAAATGCAACTGGGTAATCAAAAACACTGACCAAAAACCTAATAATGGAAAAGGTCAAAAAATGAATCAGTTGAAAACTTCAACTTAACAAGTAAGTCAATACGTAATTGAATAATGAATCAATAAACATTTATTGAATACCTGTATGTATAAGATACAAAACTAGAGACCACCAAGAGGTTTAAGATACTATTGCTGGTCTTAAGGGGACTGCAGACAAAAGGAGAACCTACGTTGGCTCATTTTTCCTGTATGCAAAGACCCCATGAGTTGTGCATATAATAAATGCAACAGTGGGGGGGGGGGCCTCCCTGATGGCACAGTGGTTGAGTGCTGGGTTGTGAAGCTGCCCACAGCCTCTGCAGTGCCGGTTCGATCCCAGGCCACCAGGTGAGGGTCCCACATGGTGTGCAGACCTCTCCTGCTGTCCACTGCTCCCCTCAGCAATGTACTTCGTCTGTCTGCCTGCTCTGCTCTCCGCTCTGACTCTGGTGAATTCTCTCACCCTCCCACGCTTCTGACTGTACCCAGTGCTTGTATAAATAATTAAAAAAAAATAAATGCAACAGGATTTTAGAGGAGTAAGGTCAACCTGGGGATATTTCAAGTGGAGCCACAGTGCACACTGGCAGGGTCTCACTTAAGACCTGAACTTTGCAGTAACAACAGGACTGAAGATAGAAACAATTTGCCTGGAGAGCTATTAAAAATGTCACAAAGGTCCCTCCTGGTAGATGCCATGATTCAGAACAAGTGACACTCATGTAGGTGAACACGTAGGACAACAAAGAAAACACCTCACCTGGGTCATCTAGTACTGCTATGTAAAGTTATCAAACTGCATTGGAAATTTCACAAATAAAGGGCTTACTTGTTTAGGGCACAGAAGGAAAGCAAAAATTAAGAGACACAAATGTGAATCTCTTCTTACGGAAAGTTAGAGTCGAAGAATTTACCGTCTTTCTTTTGTTTCAGGAAAGTCTCCTCAAAAGTGACATCATTTCTGGGGAGGCTTAACTACGAAGTGGAAAATACAGAGGACCTGCCAGCTCGTGGAGGCTGAATGACAGTCAGAGACAAGGAGGTGAGTCTCAAGCATTTTGTATGGAAGACAGCAGGTCCCTGCTGGCCATACTGTTACCCACATGAAAAGGAAGGAAGGAGCTGGAAAAGTGGGACGTCCAGGTGGTATGGTAAAAACAGATGAAGGAACTAAAATGGACTACACTAAAATAAAAAACAAACACTAGTCATGGACAACCAGATGGCTCCTAATAGGGAATCAAGTTTGATTAGACAGTTAGCTGGAGCATGTCTCTATCTACTGTATACCACAATCCACTGAGAAACTCTTATGCAAATCATGAAAAGAAACTTTTCTTCTCATGGAAGAAAACAATTTTGAGTAAGGAACAAGAAGGTCATTATTCTGCATGTTTGGACAAACATGCTACATGACAGAAGTTAGTTTCTAATTGGATTCTGATGGCAGATGTGGGGGAACAAATTGGTTTAAGGTGGGTATATTCAGCCCACTCAGGCAAAAATTGCATCTACCAGTAAAGGATATGCAACAGGTACCAGAGCAAATTTATATTAGTGTATTGAAGAACAACTCCAGGCCATATTTATGACCTCGCTAGGCCATATTTGATATCACCAAAGTTACCACTCTGTTATAATCAAGTAATATTAAATGCAGACATTTGGATTACAAGGTCTTCTAATGGAAGTGCTACTTTGTCCAAAAGGAAACTAAGGCCCAGAGAGCTTAACTCACATATCTAGGAGCTGGTCACAGTGAAGAAAGGATAACATGGTGGTTACCTAGTGTCCAGACTTTGGGGTCAGGGCAACTGAGGTTCTGCTATATGACTTTTCGTTCCATTAAATGCTCATGAGTTGGTTTAGTTTCATTTGAGTTTGAGTACTTTATACCATAATACACACTGGATTCGTGTAGTGCTCTATGCTTCAGTGTGTGTGTATCTCCATGTTTTTTCTTCAGGGGGTTCAGGCAAGTACACTAAGTTGGTGAATATATTCAGCAATCCTGCTCTTGTTGCTAGGTCATGTTAGACCTGCCCATTGGTATAATTTGCCCTGGATTGCAGTTTCTGCACAAAAGAGGAATTGTATTTACTTAATGTAATGAAAACACTGCACATTTGTAACCCTGCTGTTTTCTGCTATTTTTCATTACAACTGCACAGTGTTTCAGTTACATTATGGGTTAAATAGACTCATGAGGACTAGCCTGGGAACCTAACCACCATTTATAACATTGTTTCTGTGGCAAATTGCTTTGTGAGTTCCAAAACAACTGATTTAAAAATTAACTTTGGGAATACAACTGGTTTTAAAGTAGAAGATTGTTTGTAGGACATTTTCATGTAATTGGTTACTTAATTCATGCACTGAAGGAACAATAATGGATTGCCTACTATGCACCTACCCCGTCACTGTGCTGGGGATGTAGAGATGAGACACTTATATCTAGCAGTGAGAAGCGTCTTATTAAAACAAATAAATTATACATAAGCACTAAAACAGCTACAGGGGAAATGCTGCAGGAACAAAAAGGACAGAGAATTAAAGCTTCCACAGGATTAAACGTGGAAGTAACATTTGTGTTGAGTCTTGACAAGTAAGTACAAGTCTATCATATAGAGAAGAGTAGGAGGAGCAGATACAAATACTGGGATGTGAAAGGCTCTGGGGGTTTATGGGAAAGAATACAGGAGGAGGAAGGCAGGCTGTGAACCATTAAATGCTTTGTTGTCATAAAATTTTTTAATTGCTAGAGAAAGGACTATAAGAGAAAATATCAAAATTAATATAGAAGCAAAGATGGATGAAATGTGGCTTCTTAAACTACTGTATCTTCTTGGATTTTCCAAAGGAAAGAGGATGACCAGATCAAGTAATTTATATAGACTCCTGCTCTGCATAAAAGATGGAATTTGTTTGCTCATTTAACTCGTTATTTTTACCTTCAGGTGTCATATGATTTATCAAGTCAAAAATCACAAAAGCTTGCCTAATGATATTTTAGTGTCTTAGGAAATATGGTAAAAGGATCAGCACTTAAAAATGGGCACACTGCAACCATTTCCTTGTTTGTTAAATTAATGGTTTTTACACCAGCAAAATTATAATCTTTTTGGCTATATGTATAAAACCATCTCACTATAAATACGTTTTAGAAAAATTCAGAATAAAAGTTCACCTGATGTTTCAGTTCATACACAGAGTAATTTTAGATAATGCACCCAGAACTATAACATGAGCAAGAGAGAGGCAGCAACTCTAGAGAAAGGGAAAGACGGAAACAAATAGGAAAGAGTATTTCAGCTCAAGTACATTTTAAATTTACCAGGAACTCTTTTATATGCAGGTACACAATCCATTTGCAGATGGCTGACTGAGAGTGTTTGGGACTAAGTACACTCTTTCATGTGTAACATAAACAAAAGGATACAGTCCACTGATCCTTTGTAAACATTAGTTAAAAATAATTCTGACCTTTCAGTGTAAAGCTTAAACCGATGTACATGTTAGGACTAAAATACTTCATTGAGCCTAAGACAAGTCAAAAAGGATTTTAAAAAGCCAAGCATAGAATTTAGAATGTAGAACATCCCACCTGTAGTTGAGAGGATTCTGTTTGTTTCTGATAACTAAAAATAGAATGGACTTTTACTTTCCCTCTATCTTACTTGGTTATTTTTTTTTTATCAGAAAAGAATGTCAGGGGCCTCCCTGGTAGCGCAGGGGTTAAAGTTGCAGTGCTATCAAGCTATCGCCAGCCACTGAAGCACAAGTTCTATCCCTGGCCAGAGAGCTGACCCACATGGTGCCGCAGACCTCTCCTGTCTCACTGGCTGCTCCCGGCTCTCTGGTGAATCCTCTTACACCCTACACCCTTGTCCGACACCCCAGTTCTTGTATGCATAAATAAAAATAAATCTTTGAGAATATCAGCTTTCATAGATACTTGCACTCCTAATTTTTGAATCCTGAGAATTTATGAAATTTTGGTGAGTAAAAGGAGAATTAATGTTTAGGACTAAGGGTGCTAAGCAAGGCTGTGAATGATAAATAATTATGAATTTGGAGTCAAAGAGGTCACTTATGAAGGAGAAAGGTAAACATACCACATGGTGTCACTAATATGTAGAATATAAAGTAACTAAACTAACAGTCAGATAAAGACAAACTGAAAAACTAGCCTGAGAGGTGTCTACAGAACTGAAGCACCAAGAAAGAGCAGGGGTTTGGGGGGATGAACAAAGAGGGAAGGAAGCACAATGGTCTATGGTGGTGGTAAGTGGGTGCACTGCGGTGGTAATATGATGGGGGTACTCCAATATTACCTCAGTTAAAAATACATTATTAAAAAAAAGATCATTTAAAAATTTCTAATGATACCCTTCCTCCAGGCCTTCTATATGCCTCCACCCTTCTCCCCAGAAGTCTATATTCTTGGGTGTGTCTAGAATCCTTGTCATGGTTCACAAATACAACTCATCTTCCAGAAACTAAAAAAAATACCAGTGGCCCAAGACTCATTCTATCCTGTTTGAGGTTGACAATATTAATTTAGGTTTCTTGTTACTGGCAAGGAAACAGGCCCAGAGTGATGAAGAGACATGTCCACAATGTATAGTCGGGGTATACTCTCTCATAAAAAACAAACCCACCTCCCACCCCGTTAGGTTTCTGAAAATCAGTCTGAGCACCTCCTAGAGCACAGCACATAGCCTTTCCTTGATCTTATGGTTTTCTGCCTGTATTTTGCTCCCTGGGAGTTATTTTGATCTAATTTACCTGTCAAAAGTGTGAAATACTGATTATAATAAGTCTTTCTTCTGACTCCAACTCTTTCTTTAATCATCGAGCTTTTACTCTATTGGGAGAACTAGGCATTAAACAAATAAATATGTAATTATAACTTGTAAGCACAATGAAGGAACGCAAAGGATGCAATTATGAAGTATAATAGAGGTTTGATTTAAGTTTTAGAGGCAAGGTAGTTCTAGGAATGCTTATATACTGAAGGCTGTGTGTAGAAGTTTCCTGTGTTTGGAATATAGTGAACAGAAGTAAGAGTGATAACTGAGGTGGGAGAGGTGGCACTGCCTGACGAATGAAGATGCATGGTAAAAACTGTCCCAATAACCATGGGACGCCATTAAAACATGCAGAAGTGCTCTTATGAGATCTCTCTGATGGTCCTTGTCACAGAACTAGAAAGCATATGTTATTAGAATAAAGAATGAAGAGAATTATCAATGCAAATTCTTCTCTCCCACTTATAAATTCAGAGCAAATGCTCTTTAGATAGTCTTTATATAGTATCATATAATATAGATTATCTTAGCAATGCAATATAACATGAAAACTAATTGCAGAACAAAAATAGCATACTTCCCAGTCTTAGAAAGAAGTTTGGGCAAAATTCATGAAACGTGATAACTTCAAATAGTGAAAATATATAGTGTTTAAGAAATGACAAAGGAAACTGTTACATAATAAGTGAAATTTGAGTTTCTTATTTGCAAAATGAACTTAGAATCATAATTTATATGGAATATTATTTTCTAATCTGAACTTTTAATATTAACCTTTATAATCCTGACTTTAAAAGCAAGATCAAAAGTGGATTCTCAAATAGTTTCTGAATAAGGAAATGACAATTGCTTTTGTATATAATAATCCAAAAAAAAAAAAAAAAAGAACCCTTAGTAATCTACTGAAGTAGGAGCCTTCTCAAATAAGTGAATTTATTTTTGTGATCCTGAATTATTTGAAGGTATTATTCATAAAGCACAGTTGCCAAATACTCCAACTTCAATTTGCCTGCCATTATAAAGCCACAGGTATGAGATCCTATTAATTTTTTTGGCTTTGAAATTAATATTAATCATCAGTAATCAACCTCAATAACACAGAGAAAAATAATTATTTGGAAGGATCAAACCGAGGTAAAATGAAGTGGGAGACTAGCAAAAATTCAAAATTGTGTGTAACCCTTAACCTTCATAGGACACTGAGATTTATTTGCTGTAGGGATTGAGGCTC